TGCAGTCATTCTCTCCCTGATAAACCCCACACCAACCCCTGGAACTGATCACAGGTACACGCACAAGAAAACTTTAAGTGATCACAATTTGCAATTGGAAGAATGTATGTGTTAGGGGACTATGCTCTTCTTGTATCAGCAGCCTCTGGATGTGAGTAAATTCTCAAGCACTCAATTTCTTCTGGTTCCCTCCCTCACCATGGGATAACTTTTGAACATAATGCAATAATTCCCACTAATTAGCATTTCTGTTCCAATTAAACATCAATTCAAGATGCCCAGACCATTGCCTGTACCTAGACAGAGTCCAGTGACCCCAAAATTATTAAGAAAGCAGCTCAGCTAGGAAGCAACGACCACAGCCACCTTTATTCCCGCCACCCCACCCAGCAAAGGGCCTTAACCCTTTCCTGAACCAAGGGATGAGGAAGGCTGTGCTGTAAAGAAGCCCAGCCAGAACTGGTGACAGAGAGGCAAGGAGCAAGATAACAAATTGTGCATTCTCACAAAGGGAATAAAAAAGTTGCCTTTCTCCTAAAAGGGACCAGCAACCAAGGACTTCACCCTTTTTCTCAAGAGAAACAGCAAGGTTTACAAGGCTCAGGAGCCCGGTAAAAAGTGCTCAGGACTCTATGCAAGAGTCACTCGGCCCAGAATTGGGGTAGGTCACAGCAGGAACGCACGATTTGTCCTTGCTTGGAAACAACTAGGAGAAGATGAGAAGAAAAAAAGGCCCCTGCAAAGAACCCGCTCAAGTACGATGGTTAAAATGCTGTGACACAAAGGAACCAGGGGATACACATCCCAAAAAGCCCTTCTGCCAGTGCTGTACATATAGATCCATCTGGTCACGTCCTCACAGATGCCATCATCCCCACACCTGCCCCTCTGAACCCAGGCTGATGTGACTGTCGGACTGCAGCCACCAGCAACAACTTAACCCTCTCCTTCCAATTTTATCAGCCCTCCATCTACCTTCACCCATGCGAGTCGGAGGGGACAGCGGGGCCAAGGTGCCCGGTGGGGCAGAGCGAAGCACAGCAGATCTCCATAGCAACCAGAGGCAGCCCCAGCAGGGAAGGCCTGCTGGGCGCTGAGGCACTGCACTCTGCAGAACGGATTTCTCTATCAGCTGGAGATAGCAGCTCACAGCCCTACATCAGCCAGAGATAGCAGCACACAGTCGGACGCAAATGTGTGGGGAATCTGATGCTTGGCCTTGTACAGCCCTGCAAATTCAGCGGGAGCAGGGAGACCACGGCAAGATAGAGAGGACGTTTGGTGTAAAAAACCACAATGTGAAGAGATGCGTTGTCTTTGAAATCAGAGTGAGGGGACTCCTAAGACATTTTTCATCAATTGAAGCCTTATTCTGAAACTGCAGTAAAGCCCAATGATTCTGAACTGCCATTGCCCCAAATTCTCCACAGAGGGAGGTGATCACATAGGCTCCTTCCCATTAAGATGCTATCATCAACTCTTTCCAACATAATATTCCAAGTACCCTCAAAAATTAACAGATTAAGACTTTTGGCTTTAATCATGATGAGCTTTGCCTTCATATGTAGGAACAGTCTCCATCCAACACGCTGAACTCAACATGAGAAGCCTCAGTATAAAATTACGGCTTTGCAAGACCAGAGCCCCACAAGGAGGAGCTGAGTCCATTAGCAAACTTTTCCAAGTCCAGCAAAAAAAAAAACAGTCACTGTCTCATTTGCAGCGTATGCTCTGCTGGAAATGCACAAAAAGCCATTTATATCGAGCATAAGAAAAATATGCCATGTGCAGTTTATAAAAATATCTGTAAGAAGCTAAGAACAAAGCCAGAAACTGTCCAACGGGCTTAGCTGAGTGGGGGGGCAGAAAGAAGAATAGGAGGGGAGGAAAAATGAAATAACTTGATGGGATATTTTGTAAGGCAGATTGCGACAGCCTGAGCATGCTGGAGTTTTATTTAAAGGGGAAAAAAAAAAAAAAAAAAAAAAAAAAGCCCTAGAAACGTTCCTGACATTACAAAGCTTCAAAGCAGCTTCGAGGTCAGACAGAGACAGGCACAAGGCTGTGTGCGCACGATGCCACAGGTCAGCAGGCAGCCCAGCACCTGATAGCAGCAAACACATGGGTGCCCGGGCTGTGGCCATGCTCCTCACCCAGACCCCTGCCCCTCGGAGGCACGGTGACTGTCACACTGCGACGCTCCCGGTCGCTGTTTTGAGGTCCCCATGGTGCTGAGCACAGGACCCGCACATCCATTTGCTATGCCTCCAAAAGGAAAGCAGCACCTTGCACTGCTGTTGTTTGTACAGATATGGTAATTAAAAACTGCACTGCAACGCATTCAATAATACACTTATTGTTCCTGCATACCAAGCTGTTCCAGTTTAACATGATAACACAGCTAATGACCTGCATTTATACTTCTTCACTTTTCTGCTAGCTGTACACAAATGCTGGGCTTCTCCACCATCACTATTTCCAGAGCAAACACCTTCCTGTAAAACCCAAACCTCACCCAACACTTCTATGGGGCATGCTCTGGAAGCCGTGCACCAAAACCATTCAGACCCTAGCACTCCTCACAAGGACAGCCTTGAACCCACACAATGTTCTGCACATAATGACAGCCCACAGGACACCATTCCACAGGTGTGCTTAGTGCACAGCTGTTGACATTAAACACAGCTGAAGGGCACTGGCAGGGCCAGCCAGCAACCATGCAGTCACTCGAAACCCTTCAGGCGGGTTTCCTAAACATTTAGACCCTTAATGAAATCCAGAAATGAGAAAACATTACAGCATGGGCTACCACCAGGCAGCACAATGCAGCATCAGACAGCCCAGGTTTCAGGCTGGAGGACACCAACCCATCCAGCTCCAGGTCATGGCCCAACAAAGCCACCTACTCAGCTCGTCCAGGGAAGGTTGGGGCCACCGTGCAGACACAAAGAGGCCAGGGGTTTGCCTACCTGCTTGAGGAGAAACTTATCCTCTGCATTGATCTTGAGGGAGATGGCCAGGTGGATGGCGGACAGCACCACCCCGCTGATAACAGCAGCCCTCATCCGCACCGGCAGTAATGTGTAGATGCTGTAGATGAAGAAGACGGTCCACCAGATGCCTTCCGAGGCGCTCCTGGGCCAGACCAGCAGAACCCCTACCACCTGCACAGCCAGGATCACGAGGATGACGGAGTAGCACGCTAGCCACATGTGGTCCTGGTGGAAGTCGTTGCGGTTGCACACCATGCACAGCACCACCATCAGCAGGATGGCCAGGGAGAGCACCACGACGTAGGACACCTCGTAGTGGCCGTATACGGCGTGGAAGATCAGCATGACCACACAGACCAGCACCAGCACGGCCATGAGCATGGTGAGGCTGCTCTGGTTGAGTCGAAAGAAGTAGCGCTGATAGAGGCGCTCCAGTTTCTCTGACTGGAACTTCTTGGACCTGAAGATCTGCAGCAGGCTGCTGCAACAGCTGCCCATGGAGAAGGCCACCTCGGAGTCCTCCTCGTCCCTGTCCTCCTCCTCCAGCTCCTCGATCTTGGCCTTGATGCGTTTCTCCTCCAGCCCCAACTCCACCGAGCGGGGCCGTACCTCCCCCTGCTCCCGGGGGCTGGCATTGTTGGGGGCAGCTGGGGAATCACCGCCGGGCTGGTGGAGGGACCGGTGACGTCGGCTTTCGTCACCGCGCTCCTGCCAAGCAGATTTGGACCTAAAGCTCATCATCATCTTGCAGCCGCTCTCCCCGCGGCTCCGGCTCGCCTGGGGCTCGTAGTCTTCCTCGCTCCGCCACCTGCTCGCCATGCGGGAGGCCTTCTTGCCCGAGGACCTGTCGGGAGGCGGTGGGTAGGAGTAGCCATTGGCCCGCGCCTCCGCCTCGCCCCAGGCCGAGCGGTGCTGCTCGGTGGCCGCCCAGGGCGCGGGGCCGCCGAAGCCCGGGGGGCTGACGCTGTTGGACCGGGACATGCCCTGCGGGAAGGGGACGTCGGGCGGGGGAGGGGGGGGTCCTGGCCGCGAGGGGCAAAACCCCAAAACGCAACGGGGAAAGAGCTTGGGAATTAAAAAGTAATAATAATAATTAAAAATACAAAAATTAATATATATATATATATATAGGCAAAACCCGCAAACGCTCCCGAAGCTTGCCCCGGAGCCGGAGCGTCCTCTCAGGGCAGCGCGGCGGCCACGGCCGGCCCCGGAGCTCCGACACCCCCCGAGCGAACGCGGCGCCGCCTGAGGGGCCGCCGGGCCGCCCCCGCCTCACGGCCGCGCGCCCTCAGCCGCGCCGCGGCGGCCGCAGGGGCTCCGGGCGCGGCGGGGGAGCCGCATCGCAGCGCGCCGCGCCGGCCCGCACCCGCCGCTCGGGGCCGGGCACGGGGCGGGCGGCGGCAGCGGCCGCCCCGCGGGCCGGGCGGCGGCTGGGAGGGCGCGGAGGCTCAGGCTCGCAGGGCCGCGGCGGCCGGCGGAGGAGGGAGCATCCCCTGCAGGGGGGGCCCTGGGCGCGGCGGGGGGGCTGCCCGGGGCGGGCCGGGCTCTCGCCTCGCCTCCCAGCGGCGGCGGAGCCCCGGCGACACGGCACGGCGGGCGGCAGCCGCGCCGCTCATGCACACGGCCGCCGCCGCTCCGCCGCTGTGCGCCTGCGGGCGGCGGGAGCGCCTCTTCCAGGGACACCGGAGAACGGGAGAAGCGAGCGGAGGGGGGGGAAAAAAAAAAAAAGCAAAAAGGCGGCGCCTCTCGGACGAGCGGAGCGGAGCGCGGGGCTGCGGGCAGCGGCGCTCCGCGCGCCTCTGGCAGGGACGACAGCGGCCCGCCCCGGCTCGCGCCTCTTTGTACTCCCCATTCAACCGGGCGCCGGCCGCGCCGGCCCCCGCCCCCGCCCCTCGCCGGCCCCCATTGGCGCGCCCCCCGCCGCTGCCCGCCGCCATTGGGCGCCGCCGACGGCCCGCCGGCCAATCAGTGCGGCCGGAGGGCGGGCGGGGGCCGTGCCGCCGCAGCGCGGCCGTTAACCGCTTCGGCGCGGTCCTCGGTCCCGCCCTTGAGGCGCTGCCTGAGGGGCGGCCCGGGCGTGGCGGTACCCGGACCTGGAGGTGAAAGCGTGAGAAACGGAGGCGGCACCGCGCTGAGAAGCAGAATAAGGTAAAGCCTGAAGAACTGTCCTAACCTCGGGCCGGCTGTGACCGCGTCGATAAAGCAGAGCTCGGAGAAAGGTAATGACGATGATAAATGGCAGATAATGAACGCCACAGATAGCCATCCAGAGAGTTCATGAAAGTTTGGGCACTAAGGAAATGAGATGAGTGCGTGTGCAATTTTGACACAATTGCATGTTCTTCAGAGTCACACGTGAAAGCAAAATAACATACCTTGGATGGAAAAAACATCCTTCAAAAATGCCAAACAATCCTTAAAAGAAGGTTCAGACAGTTAATACCCTCCCTGTTAACAAATAGATGACACACACAGAACTGTTACCCTTTCCTCTGGTGACTTGGCCTTTCTGATGACTGCAGACAGGTATCTGCATCTGTACAGCTCAGTTCTGTCCCAGCTATGACCTCAGTTCATACAGGTAGCCTTTGTGTTCTAATCTGTGAAATGAGAACATTTACTTGTCCTGTTCACACTGCAATACTCAAACGAAGCAACTTCCACCTTCCCTGCTAGTAGAGTCTTCTCAAATGCTGTTCACCCAATCATGAAAGCGTTATTCTTCCGTTTGTTTTTGATGGGTAGGGTGGGTGGGGGAAGGATAGGAGGGAAATTCTGTTGTGTTCCCTCAATCACAATTTAATCAAATTCTGGATCAAAATAGAAACCCCTTCTTCCTTCAGCAAGTGCTTCTCCATATGAGCTATACAGAAGATATAGAAAATGCTGGCACACTGTTTCTAGAATATGAGCTCCACAAGATCTGTCAGAGGATATGTGAGAGAACCTACAAGTACAGCCACAGAGCTAAGTGAAGCACAGAAGTTCTTCAACGCACGAACAATTTACGCAATTCTGATTTCACACATAGCCTCACATCTGTATACAAACACTTTATTTTATTACTGTTACAACAGGTGCAGTAGACAAACATCAGCATTCTTCATTTGCTTGATTTACACACAACAGGAATAACATCTACATAGTAGCCTCAGAACACACGTCAGTCACATATTTCACTTTCTGCAGCCTTCACGATTCATGCAAGTATTAAAACCAAAATTCTAAAATAGCAATGCTCCCTAAATTAGTAAAGCCATTATAAGACATGTTCTTGGTCCTCTCACCGACTATCTCTGCGCACTCCGAAATAGCCTTCTGAAACCTAATGAGAGAACATGACCCAGAGACATGAAATACTGAAATTGAACAAGCTGATATTACATAGTCTCTGCTTTCCCTCTACCCCATAATCTGATGATTCACAAGGAATAGAGCCAAAAGTGAGCAGAAAATTATGAAAATATAAAAACACAGTCATTAAAAAAAATTAAAAAGCAAGACCAAAACAGCCTGATTCATCACTGACTCAGGTTTCCTAGGGTCACATAAAAGCCGTCAGATCAAGGTGCTTATTGAATTGGATTTATCAGCTTTTTCTTTAGTAGCATCCACAGCATTTAATCCCAAATGCAGATCTAAAAATATTTGCACTTCTATGCTGTTTAGGTTAAGTTAGATCTGGAACACACATACATAACACGTGATCGTGAAATTCACCTTCATGCATAGAATTCATGTGATCATTTGCAGGGATTTTCTGTAAGCCCAACACAAAGGAAAAAGTAGTTGAGAATTCCATTTCTTCAAAAAGATTGCAAGAACAATTATTAAATACAGCCTTGCTTTACTCTTGCAAGCTCCCCTGCAGATAACATCAAAACAAAGTTACTATGGCTGAAACAGTTGTCCTGTATGTTGCCTGTATACAGCTCAGAGTTCAACAGTTACATTGTTGGCACCAGCTATACAATTTTTGGCTGGTTTATCAAGTACATTTGCACAGGCTATAGTGACGCTTGGTATTAAGTTTCACTTATAAAACTTATCTGCAGCACAAACACAAACGGACACCAATATTCAAGGTCACCCATACTTAAAAGGCAGTAAGCAAAACACCAGCCACACATCAGCTTCCACTTCCAGAAAGGCTAACTTCAGTACACCTGACAAGCAGGGGCCAGTTGCATTTTTGCCGATCAGACTTACCACTTATTTCAAGTCTCCTCAGCTTCATATACTGAACAAAGTGGACTGATGTTGTCATAGCTACGTGAGAAACCAATTCCTTTTATTAAGTGAGGGTAGGAAAAAAGAAGGGGGATAGAAGAGCATTATTCTGTGCTCAAGGTGACCAACAAAACCTAGTTTCAAATGTTTTCACCTGAATGCTGTGCTCCCCTCCTCATTTACTCAGACATGGAATGAGCACATGCAATGGCTGGTCAAAAAAAAAAGAAAAAAAAAAAAAAAAAGCACATACAAGCTGCAGGAATTTCTCTGAGGCTTCTACTATTCTTTCAAATGTGGCTGGTAATATTCCCATAAACGCACAAGAAAAAAGAATGATTGCCTACTGTTTTCATCATGAAGCCAGGCTTTGAATAATAATATACAAAGAAACTATTATATTCACAAGTTGTTATAAGTTTCCCAATTGTGCAATGGGCAGATAACACTACATTGTACAGTGCTTTTATTATTCAAATACATGTAATAGGATGCCAGTGGTCATTTATTATGCAAACAAGTACTGGTTTGAAACTTAGAACTGAGAATAACTAAATCATATGATTTACATCCGTGGTATATATCAATTTTTACATCTTTCTACCAGCAATTTAGTTCTGCAAAATCTGGCAAGCTGTGACCTGCAGTCACATGTCACCAGGAACCCAGAACACTCCTGGCCCTTGAATGTTCATGTCTGCCTCACGTTTGTTTGCACCTGTTAGGAGCAGAACAGTTTTCCATGTCTTTTGATTTGACAACGCTTTTTGAAGAATAAAGGAGCTCCATTCAGATTGCAGTTTTTTCTGGTAGAGCTTGGACAATATTACAAGTGTTAATTTCCAGTACTTACTTAGTAAATGAACCAGTGGTGTCTTATTTTCAATTTCCCAGCCATTTTCTTGTGATGCAAAAAAAAAGCTTTTTTAAATAATTATTTATTTTTGCTGTTTATTTGCTAACTTCAGAACAGTTAAAGCTCAACTTATTTTGCAACTACTCTTACTGTCTAGCAAGGGCAATCCAGCAAGCACATATAGAATCATTGTAGAATGGTCTGGGTTGAAAAGGACCACAATGATCGAGTTCCAACCCCCCTGCTATATGCAGGGTCTCCAACCAGCAGACCAGGCTGCCCAGAGCCACATCCAGCCTGGCCTCGAATGCCTCTGGGGATGGGGCATCCACAACCTCCTAAAGCAAAGCAGCAGCATACTGTAATTGTAAAATCATTACAGCAGCATGAGAATGAAGGATGTTTTCCTCTCGAATGAACTTGATGCTTCCCGTATGCATTGACAGTGTTCTGTCCCATATACTGTTTTGCATTCTTTGTTCTACTGAAACAGCACCTTCCCATGCTATGAAGAGCAATGAGAAAGTAAATAACTTTTACAAATGCATCCTCTGGAGAGGATGAAATTGGTTTCAACTACTTCTTTTATTCAGCTAAGGAAATGTGTGAACATTTATCCCATTCAGCTTCACTGCTTCTGAAAAGCAATGTACTAAGGTTTGAAACATTAGAGGAATAAAACCTAGAACAATTTAAATTGCACTGAAAAGCTGAGTAAGGAAACACAATTAATAGCCAGCCTAGAAGCTTTCCTGAAAATACTTTATACACAAGAACAGTGCACTAAAACAGCACACCTAAGCCATGTGTGCCATCCCCACCACCACAAACAAGCAATAAACACTCGGTGTGGAATGAAAGGGACTTCGTGTCAGCAGCACACTAGAAAAAAACATATCAGCACTTCCATTTAAAGCTATCATTCTACTTTTTTTTTTTTTTTCTTTTGTAAATTAAAAAGACAACTGGATACCAAAGGAAAAAAAAGAAAGACAAGTTTGAGGTTTTGCCAGTTCCAAAGTGTTTTTCAGAAACTCAGTAGCTCAGTATATTCCAGTACCTGTCCTCTTCTTCCAGCTCATCTTTGTATTAGAATATCATCTAGTAGAGAAGCCCAGCACTCAGTATCTTTGTTTTTATTCAGTAATTGAAGAGCTTGTATTTTACCTGAAGGGACTTTAAACTAAAAAGCCAACTTTTTTCATAAAGTAACCTTTTATTTAGCTGAATGGAAAGCCCTCCACTTCCTATATCATCCTCCAATGGATATTTTTTTTCGTAGGCACACAATTCAGATTACACAGCCAGCACAATTCCACAAGTTCAGGTGATCAAACTAGAAAAATGTCAGCATTAACAGTTTAACACATGGCCAGAGTAAGTGATGTGTATTTTAATAGTGTCTAAATAGCAGCTCGATGATTTGCAATAGTCTGTGCAGACCATCAAAAGCGGCAAGTCAAAAGACAGGAGAAAACGCAGCTCAGGGTTCACAATTCTGCAAAATAAGCCTCTGCAAAGGATTCTGATAATGAATTTCACATTACAAACATCCTTATGTAGTACCAGGTAACATCAAATTTTTATGTACAAACTAGACTGAATTCACAGTTTATCATGACACCTTAGAGTTTGTGCCTTGGCAAGTGTAACTAGACATGGATGTTAAATGTTGTTAATTTTCTTTTTATAGTGAATTGAAATAATATGCATCTACATAAGAATAGAAAATTTAGGGATAGTACTGTCTGTAACATCTTTTTTCCTAACATTAGCACATTATCAATATATCAAAGAGAAAAGCACATGTCTGGCAATGCCAAGTTAATTTGTGAAAACATGAAAAAGGCTTTAGAATCTTTTATACCTGTAAAAGAAGGCATTATTTTGGAAAAGAGTGACCAATAAGATTAGGAACATTTTAAATTTTCTATTCAAATTTTTAATTCCAACTGCTTCAGGGGAGCCTTCAGGAACCACCACAGAAGCTTTATTAATTCTCTCTCACCACACTTGTCAGAAGACATCTAGAAGTGTGAAAGTGTGTTAGTTTAGGAAGCAGAGCTTAAAAAGAGTTACATATTGAATGGAATGTCCAAAAAATCAAGTGCTTTGAGTCTGTCAATCAACCCCAACTCTCCAGAAATGCTCACTCCATTCCAAAGAAATCACACACATTCACTCCTTTGCATTTTACACCAAACCCATGCAAGGATCTGCACTGGTGTGTCTTAAGTCAGCAACTGCCTATGATTTATTTAAGATAAGCCTTAAATACTAGCAAGAGCTTAACTTACTTACAAGCACAGAACTTTACTTTTTCAGACTTCTTAATGTTGCCCTAGGTAGCTAAAATTGTTTTTACACACGCTGCTTTTAGGCTGCAAAGAAAAAACATGTAACTAGTCATAGTTATTTTAAGACAGAAATGGAGCACCACTCTTCACAGCATAACATTTCAAAGTAGTTTTTAATTGCACAGTCCCAGCTATCATGCATAGGGTATGTCTGATGCTGTTATGACAACATTTCATCCTTTCTGCAGTAAAACAAAAAAATCATTGTAGTTGTGTAATCTTATGACAAGCATATGCCTAGAATAATAGCATGCACTCTGCAACTGGTGCTCAGTTCCTATTAGAGGATTATAACTTGTTATTTATGAGCATTAGTGGCATCTAGACACAGCATTTAAATCTCTCTCAGGAAGTGTTAAAAATGCTAAGAACGTTGCTGTGGTAGCAGACATACTATATTTAGTAAATGAACTCTGAAATATTCAGTTGCATTATTTAAGCATTCAACTATCTTAATAATACTCAAAAGATTTTGTTTTTGTAGAAAAGCATCACCATCTAGAATGCAGGTAACAGAAGAACAAAGAGCTGCCATTCTAGTGAGGATCCTTCAGGAAGCTGTAAGTTGGAACATTCATACAGTCAGTGAACATGTTGTTATGAATACTTCTTTTGGAAGTGAGCCCTTGTAACAGCATTAAGCATCTACTATGACTTTCATTTGAGCTCCAGAAGTGAGGTATGCCCCAGAAACTTGGGAATTGCAATGTACAGCCTTACATCAGATGAGTAAAAACACAGCCCTAATTCACATTTACTAAGGAGCTGCTTATATTCCTTAAACAGTACCAATACAGCATATTTTGTTTGGAATTCTTTTATTTGGATTATAGCAATTAGTATCACTGGTCAGTAGTAGGCCAAATCCAGGCAGAGAGCACAGAATCAGTTTCACAAGGCAAAAACACAGACTAGTATTTTAGCATACAAACCATTTCACCGCATTGTCAAGTAGAAATATCTTCCAAACATGCATAAAATTTTATGCTTAATCTTTCAGAGCTCCACGTAATACCAGATTCCTAAATATACAAAAAATACATTTAACTTATAATAATCTTAGTGAATCAGACTTATAAAATTACAACTTTATTCTTCACAACATAGAAAAAAATACAAAAATGACTGTATATAGTTTTCCCCAAAATTTCACCGACAAATATACATCAAAGCACATGATTTGATGTATACTCATGAAAATTTTAAGATGAAAGATAGGTTTTTAAATGACACTGCAGATTGGTCTACACAAATACCAACCTTGCTATTGGTAAATAAAAAACTTGGATAGAAACATTGCATTGTGAAAAATTACTATTTACCTGCACTGTATCATCTGCATCGTACTGTAATTTACACTGTGAACATTTCTACAATTCCAGTTGTAAGCTCGACATTGGTAAGAACCTTGGTCTTTTAGGGGGTAACGACTAACTTGGTCAAAGCTGGCATGGTAGAACACAAAGTACCATCAACTGAACCAGTGCACATAACACAAAGACAACCAAAGCAGAAAACATCTGCTGCAGCAGTTTGGTGATGCTGATAGTAAACATGCAAGCCAAGTAAATAGTCTGTGGGGGAGGAAAAAAAACCAAACTTGTAGATTTGTGACAAAGAGTACTAATCAAAGTTTTTATTATAAAATTCACATATTGCATTACAGCTTCAGTAACTGAAGAGGGGAAATTTGCTTACTAAGATGGCAAAAAAATACATGTGACCAAAGTCAGTGCTAGGGAAAACCCTAACAATATTAGGGAATTGCACTACAGTTTGTACTCAGGACCACCTTCCAGTGATTTCCATGGAAGCCTGACATGAGCAAGCACTAAATGTTTCATAGTTCAGCTTCTTCTTGTAGAAGGAAAATGAATTTTCTCAAAAAGCTAAAGGCAAATTAATAATTTCAATTAAATATTTCATAATAAAGCTTACTCAGCTGGTTGTACAAGCCTCTTCCATATCAGGAGATCTCTCTGCTTCTCCGTATTGCTCATGCTATCTGATACAGATCTGTACTACATCTTTCTCATCAATAGATCTATGAGTTTGTTTCATATAGCAGTATTACACAACCATTTTTTCCCTGGAAATTGGAACTGCAAACTTGAATCCAGGTCTCAGTTTGACTCTGTGCCTAAATACAAGAAAAAATGAAGGAGCTGAGTACCCACAACATCCAATAACCAGAATCTATCATGAAATCACATTTTTCAGATGACATTCTTCAGAAATGCTGTCACAAACATCTTTGATAGCATGAACAAGCAAAAGGAGATGTTTTGTTCAGATGTGGAAGTTCTAAACAATGAGTTCAGTATAATGCAACATTTCTCAGACAACCAGAGCAAATAAATACACAGGCTAATAGAGAAATGAACTTGAATTGTTTCATCTTTGAATGCAGAACCCCTCTGAAGTTAAACGTTGCCACAGTATTTTTGCTTTCAGCCTACAACTGTCTACAAAAGGTTCAAAATAGAAGCAAAGTTCATTACTGTCTCTTATCCTCTTCCAGCATCTAATAGATTTGTTTTGAACAGGAAAGTTGTTACATGTTACTGAGTGCTAGGAATGTCCAGTCAGATGTTTTGATGGAACCAAAAGGAATGACTGAAAATTGCAGGATTGTGGGTTTTTTTAAATTTAATACAGCTATGACAAATGTGAAAACAAAAAGTAATTGTAAATATGGCTCTGCATCAGCACTAGAACAAAGAGGCATTGCACTTAGTACTTATTGCCCTACATTTAGGGAGAACTGCAAGGTACATACAGGTAATTGGGACACAGATATGGATTGCGCCCAGGGGAAGGTAGGTGCTGGTGGGCATAAAACAGTCACACCTCATTTATGCAGCAAATCACAATGTTACAAGAGAGAAGTCAGAGATACCCTTGTCTTGTTGTCTAGTAGCTCCAAAGGGGCAAGGACAGTACTATTCAACTTTCAATATGTGATACAGCTGTGACCATTAGTTACGCTTCTTTTGCCTTTGACTAGATGTCTTTTCTTTCCCCTGGTCCCTATGTGGCTTCTATTTACTGCCCCCTCCCAGTAAACATTTTTGCTCATATTTTGGGCCACTGCTCACACAGCAGTAGTGGATTCTGCTTCACCACATGGCTCAGTCCTTTCATTTTCTGCTTTGCCTTCCCAAGGGAAGGTTTAGCCTGAGAAACCTAAGCAAGCACCTTGGAAAATTTGTCTTTCCATGCTCTTCTGCTGTTTCAAAAGAGCAGATAAGGGAAAGCTAGTCCAATCTGTAAAAGCAGCAAGTAACACATGAGATAATCTGCTTTCAAAAATGTACTTGTTATTTAGGGTTTCTACAAGGGTTTTTTCAGAAGCTGAGTGCCTAGAACTGCCTGTTTGGATGTTCTAGAGTGATAAACATTAATCAGTTAAGAAAAAGTCATGTTGAAGAACACGTCCTCAGGTGATTCCACAGTAGACCAAATAGTTCTTAACACTAAAAGATGAGTACCACTGAAATAGTGGACAATGATTAGAGATGATCATTTAAAGTCAAAAATGGAGAAGTTGCACCTGTTTTGGGCTGACTCGCCTCCTTATATTCTTTAGATTAATTACTGATATCACAAGAAATATTACAGTTAGTATTTTTTATTTCCTCAATATTTAAAAAAGCATCCAGGGCTGCAGTACTTCAAGGATTTTTAATGTTTCAGATAAGCATTATAGCCTCTGAATTAACATTAACATTTGAGTAATCAGCTTAAACAAAATCTTCAAAGAACGCTCTCTGGTCAGACACCCTACTGTTTCAATTCCTAATGAACCACGTTCCCCTCATTTCCCATAATTGCTTTCCTGTTCTTGTTTCCATCACCTTTTAAATACACAACCTACCCTTTTGAATTCAAACACTGCCTGGATTACATTCTCCACTGGAGTCTCTGACAAAATCCTAAAGCATTCCAGAGCATATTGTTTGCTTCCACAGCAATACATACAGTTTCTGGCATGCAGTCAAGCACTTCAAAAAAAAAGAGAGAGGTATCAGTGACACAATCCCAATTCAGGCATTTGGTGCTTACAATTTCATCATTCATACTGTAACCTTCAGGCATTTAATAACAAAAATGAAAACCATTTAGCACAACGTTTAATGAAAAGTAAAAGGCTACCTGCCAAGCCAGATAAAGTTTAGAAGTTTTCTGAAGCACTGCAAGCTGAAAATTATTTGAATGTTTCACATTGTGGAATTTCAGTGAAATCAGATTTATTGGTTATTCTTGCTAATTATTGGTCTTTTAGCTCTGACAGTTTTATCTTGGTATATTTATTATAAATATGCTGGGTATTGAAAATCTGCAGCATTTCGATGTTTGAAAAGTTCTGAAAGAATTGAAATTACTCCGACTTCTTGTGTTCTTCAGTGTGGGAAAGCACCTTTCGCCTCTGACGTAGCATGTGAAAATACAGCTGGGGAAAGACTGAAGAGAAAACAGACAAGGAAGAAGTCAGGCTTCTGTGCTGGTGTAAAACACACTCACATACTCCAAGTCAGTGATTCTGTTAAAAGAAAATCTGCTTTTCCACTTTGCTCAAATCATCTACTGGCTGAAAACAAGCAATACTGCCTTTAGACTTCAGTTATTATTTAATTTTGTTACAACTATGCCATTTTTAATTAAAGGCAAAATACGTTATTTCATAATTAACTTTGCACGTACAAGAAGAATGACAAAGTTTCTTGAATTGCATGCATACAATGAAAATAAACTGCTTTGTGAGGAGGCAAAATAAACCACCATGAGAAATGGAAGTCATCCAAAAGAATGAAATTCACAAATTTGTTTCATATCTTATGATTCCAGTGTCTCTTTTTCAGGATCTAAAAAAACTTTATACAAACTGGCACCTCTTGCATCTCTATCCTCCTGCAAAGCTTTTCTCCTCCTATTTCTAACATTGCATTAAGAAGAAGAAGAAGAAGAACAACTAGGGGATGCAAAACAGCAAAAACTTCCATCTTTGTGAACAATGTGAAAATAAAACAAGGTCAATATCAATATAGATGACATCAGTTACACTTGTCTAATGTTTGCCATGAGTGTGAGGCAACCAAAGACTACTTAATTCATAGGTTTTTTTTTGTTTGTTTTTTGTTTTTTTTTTTTTTTAAGGTTAGCGTTTTCTCCCTTGGCTTTCTTTCCCAATATTAAATATCTTGACTATCTCCTCCAATCCTACCCTTCATTTCATTTAACTCCCCCAGTGTTAAGTAGTGAATACGTCTGTCCAGAAATGTAGAAGTATACAGAGCCATGTGATTTCTCTTTGAAGTTTAAATAATTGGTATCTTTATACACAAAGAATTTAATGATATCTTTTCTTGCAAGATGTCTATTTGACAGGCAAGAACTAATTTTGATATTTAAAGCCAGATAAATGGTAAGATGCAACTAACAAGAATATTAATCTTAATTTTTAACAGTGGATTTAAAACTTGCTTTTTTCATGATGTTAACTTTCCCAAAATTTTTAAGGCCTTCAGTGAGTTCAGAAGACAAGCTTCCTGCACAGTTTGCTTTTATGAATAACTGCAATGATTGTGGCTTTTCTTACATCTCTGGAACAACAGAGGAATGTCTGCCTGTGAAAAGGTACCTAGGACTTCTCAAGTCCATGCAGTCAGTTCTTAGACTTAAGTAAGAAGCCAATTCACAATAATTAAAAAAAAAAAAAAGACTGAATTCAAGTTACACAACCAGCAAAGGATAACAAATTACAAAATAGCTGAAAGACTGCAATTTTAATGGAGAAACAGGGCTAAAATTATTTGAGTTCGCTGTGCTTCCCTCTCATGTGGTCTGCCAGTTGTGATCAAGCAATTTCATAAGAAGTAATTAATATTTGAGTTTATCGGGGAAGAACAAAAGTTATTGTTCTGGCTCCTTGGAGTTAGTAATATCAGTGTTTTTGGAGGATGGAGACAAATAGCTGCACACGTATAAAAAATTCTTAGGAACAGCAGGAAAAAGTTACTAATTTTGATATCCAAAATAGTTCACAGAAAGAATAAGTGCTTATAGACAGCCACACTACTGAAATTTAAATCTTAGAATACGATTTGTCACTCAGCATAAGCAACAAGGTCCATATAAACACAGCTACAGAGATAGCTAGCAGCAGTGCACTGCATTATTTTGCACATTAAACTGCTATTTGCACATTTAAGTTGGCTGAAGACCTACATGCTCTTAATCACTAAGCAGCAAAGCCAAACCTTCATCTGTAAAAACATTCGAAGACAGTATCAACTCAAGTTAATTCAACAGAAATGCCTCCCCAGCCATTACTGCAAAAGCAACATTCTTATTTCTGAATCACATTTTAAGAAATTGCTTTAAACCTTGTTCTCCTGGAAGCCTGTAAATGGGAACAAAATGAAGATGTCAATGTTTGCTAAGTCCTATAGTTATTTTATGTATCAAATGTAAGAGAAAAAACACATTTTGCTATATTACAAGCATTGCTAGAAAGCAAATCCTGCAGTTTTAATTCTGACTTCTTTCTTTAAATGTCCAAAATGAATTTTGCAAGATTATTTGTATACATGCTAATCCCACACTTGTTAGCTTTTCCTGATACTGCTTTTAATATTAAAGAACTGAAAACTTGTACTTACGTGGAATGTAAGAGATCATAACCAGGATCAGGAATGTGTAATAGTCAAAAGAAAAGTTGTACTTGTTAGGTAAACTAATGGAATACAAGCCAGACTGCCTGACGAAGGGTAATGCAGCATATATTGTGAGTAATTCACCAGAGACTCCCATTGGATACAATATTATAAACAAAGTGTACCTAGAACAAAACATTTAAAAACAGGATTAAAAGTTGTGACAAAGAACTTAAGTACCACTATGGATATTCAACTTCTAAATCCTTAACTTCGATTTGATTTGAGCATGGCAGTGTATGAACATCAATGCAAGACAAAATACTGACATCAGCAACCACTTTTGAATTATTTAAGGACAATCTTTGAGAATCTGAACAGTATCTTTAAAACAATTCCCCCACTTCCATACTTCATTACTTTGACCTCCAAACTCTTTAGTTGTGAACATATTATTAAAATAGGACCAGTCAGTATTAATTAATGAGCTCAACTGTTTCAAGTACAACCCTCAGATTCAATGGTTACTGGTAAATAATAGTTTACTTACCATAATCACTTTGTAAATGGTATTGAGTTCTGATAAAGTACTTTCAGCTAACATTTAATACATTCTTAATCCAGAAATCCGTTGAAAGGAAGCTAGGAAGTCACTTTCACTAACAGAACAATTACTCTGAGAATGTAACTTGCTCTGCTGCAACTATGTTACAAGAGAAATATCCACATCAAAACAGTGCTTCAAAGCTTTGCTTTTTTTTTTTTTTTTAATTGCCACCTACCTGGCCCATTTAATAAGATAAGGGAGATGGTTTAACAAGCTAAAGGTGTAAAAGGAGTAACGGATTATCTCTGTGATTGTCCAGGCCACTACAAACAACAGGACACTGTCTTCAGTTTGTACCTGCAAGGAAGAAGCAAAAGCTTAAATACAGAACACAAGTGTTACTAATTATTCACCAGACTTAAATACCCCAAAGAAAGTAATTTCCATGGGCTGCTTTACTGCATCAGTTTAGAAAACAGACTCTGGGAAAAAGCTTAAAAGCAACATTAGTAACGACAGCAAAAAAAATCCCTTGCCATGCTCCATATTTTTCTAGTTGGCTTAAGAACAGCTTTGCTGATCAGATACTGAAAACAGCTTGTAACTTTTCCACTCCTATACAATACCAAGTTCTGCTTCAGTCCTGTGATTGCTTTCTAGCACAGGAAGAGCACAGGATGCTAGCACTCAGGATCTGGTTTAGATTTTACACTCCTATCCTACCCAGCACTATTTCTTGAGTAAAAGGAAAACTGTTTTCCTCACACCTTTCAAGTGAGAAGCTGGCTCTAAATTCCGAGAAGCAGCAAGGCAGCAATCAGCAGGACAAAGGCTCAGAGCAGAGAACCAGCAGTTCAGGTTGCCTCGCTTCAGATAAACTTGACAACTACCTGCTGCATCCTTCCCTGCTCCTTCTCCCAGCTTACTGTGTGCAACATTGTTCCTTTAAATGTTACTGTTACACTCAAGGCACCACTTTGTTTCACAGCTTTACCCCCCTTAGAGCTCGAACTGCAAATGCATGTTACATAAACAGTTCCTACTCCCCTTGTTTTTTGAAGATTAACCTTCAAAAGCATGTATTTTAAAATGAACCATTAGATTTGGGAGCATAATTATGAGTTTCAGATGGATAGCAGATATGAGGAATTATATAGGGTCACATACCTACACAATAAACTCCAGAGAGTGAACACAATTTTTTATGCAGCACCCTCCCCACCCAACAGAAGCACGATGTGAATTCTCAGCTGTCTGAGAACCTTCAGCCCAAGTTCTGTAGACCGTGGGAACAAAAAAGAGCTCAACTACAAGGAGCTGCATTTACTTTTTTCCTCCAACTCTCGAAAAAAGGGAAAAGGAAGTCAGTAGGTGTGGGTGGTACACCCTATTCATCTTGGGCAGAGTACATGTACAAACAAAGGAACAAGAAAATATATGGGCGAGCAGAAACCTTTTAATAGGAAGGGACTGATCATATACTTGTGTGCAAAAAAGTTCACAAGGATTACTCATTAAAAAAATCCCTTTGTTACAGAGACCACAGAATCCAAGAAGAATTGTATAAAAATGTTGGAAATCCTGTGAAGTACAATTACTGTTATTCTATATTCTGCTGTGTAGAACAATTAAAGTCACTCTCATTGCATTTTGCATCAAGCATACCTCATCCTTTTTCACTTGAAACTGATAATTTCCTTATATATTAGCCTACCATACAGGACCATAAAAGAACAGTATCCAAAACCTATTTGAAGATTTTCAGAGAAGAAACCAAATTTATTTTTCACACTACTAGAGTAACTAGAAAAGGATCCTAACTCTGCTTGTGGTCTGCTTTATAAAGACAACTTAGTTCTCAACCTGGAAGTCAGCATCACCTCACAGATGATGCTGTTCTCAAGGAGCAACATGCTTCACAAGCACTCTGGAGCTGCATCTTCTGGTCAGATCAGGACGAGCAGCTCAGCGAGTAAGCTAAGCTTATGCATCGCAGACTTCAACTTGTGCTTTGAAACTCCACCTCTTTTCCTAACTATGGAAGTCAGTAAAACCAACAAAGGAAAATTTGTAGCTTGAAGAAGCACACAAAGAACCAAGCAAGAAACTGTTAGGCCAACAGTGACTGATGCACATAGGAGAGAGAACTGAAATTGTAGCTGCCAGATGACTGCAGGTTTTTTAACACTCGAGTCTAGTCTTTTCCATCAACCTTGGTATTGGAAGCATGCTTGGAAATCACTGAAGCAGCTCACACCATCAAAAACAAATGGGTCACTTAACAGGGAATTACAGACTGTGTCTTACAGTTTGTGTCCATACTTAAAGAAGGAGGAACGCTGGAAATTGGTAGTTGTTCTGTGTAAGAGTGGCCTATGAACTATGAACTTTTCAAACAAAGAGGAGCAAACTGTGCACTTTATCATCACATTTTAACCACATTCCACAGCTCATAATTAAAAAGTATATTTCTTACACATTAATGGATCTGTCAAAAAAACTGTCACTATTACAGCTTCTCTTTGAGGACTGACAATTTCTCAGTACTTTAGATAAAGATGTTTGAGATGCACATTATCAAACTCCTGGGAACTAATTTACAAAACAGTCCCTCAAGAGCCTTGTTCATTTAGGCACTGCTAATGCTGCATTTGCATCATTCCTCTTGCAACCTCTATGGAAAGAGGATAATACAACCAATAAACAGCAGACCCTTTTTAAACCACAAATCCCAGTGCTGCCCTCAGAACCCCATTTTTCTTCCTCTACCTTTTCATTCTATTTTTTGAAGGTGGTGTTAGAAAAAGTCAAAGCACGTTTTACACTTTATATACAACTTATTTGTCCAGCTGCCTTAGTTAGGGTGAATTATACCACAGGCATAATTTTTGGCACGTGTTTCCATTTATCATCCAGGGGGTCTTGAACATATTTTAGCTTGCCATCATGACTGCAAGTAACAAACAGTCATGAAATACAAGAGAATTTATAGCCTTTTAAGGTGCAAAATTGATATTCAGAAGTGGGAATCAATAAAATACAGCCTAAGATGCTTCTACTGTTCTTCTTAGGCACAAAAGTTACACACAAGATTTGAAAGGCATAAGATATCATAAGTGTAGAAATACGGAAAAACCTGGAGAATTAAGAGTAACAGTCTGACAAATAGTGTAGTGATAATTTCAGCTACATACATCATAAAATAGAAAGATAAAAACAGCAGCACTGTGCAAGAGATGCTGAAACACACCTCTCTCCAGAGTCCACAGCTTGGGTTTCGTGGTATATCA